TGGACTGCATGCCCCTCAGTGCCATGTTAGAATACCACCTCCCCACCTAGTAAACAGGGGCACCTGGGGCCGGTTCAGTCTGCTTTTGTACAGCCTGCAAGCCGAGAATGGTTTTTACATTTTTAAATGGTTAACTTTTAAATGGTTATATAAGTCTAACCATCTTGCCTTTTGGCCTGCAACACCTTAAATATTGGCTATCTGACCCTTAAAAAAAAAGTATGCTGATGCCCAGAAGTCAGTAACTTTGTTTGATTCACTCTTTTTTTTTTTATTTGATTATTTTTTGGATCTATTCAGAGTTAATTGTAAGACTATATATCATATGATATCATTAAAAACAAAAGTGAATCATTCCAAGATCCACAAGGGTAAATAGATGCAAATCATAACTGCTGCAGTATATTGGCTAAAACATTTGTTGACACCAAGGCCATGGTGCCTTGATTCACTCTTTACTACTGATTATGGCTCAGACATTTTGTGTCTCCATAAAGTTAGACGTTAGCACAGACAAAATTGGTGACACAATGAATGCGTTTTCTGCTGTATGTTTACAAATCTTATTTCAGCATTCTCTTTTGTCCTCTGGCCAGACAAGAGCCAAGTTTCCATACCCTCTTTAAACCAACTTTGTCATCCTAAGGATTCCCTTATTAATAAGTTAAATAAAACTTTGAGCCGGGCTCGGTGGCTCAGCCTGTCATCCCCATGCTTTGGGAGGACGAGGTGAGTGGATTACTTGAGCCTGCGGGTTCAAGACCCACCCAGGCAACTTGGCGAGACCTCTTCTCTACAATAAAATCAAAAATTAACTGGGCATGGTGGCCCGCACCTGTAGTTCCAGCTCCTTGGAAGGCTGAGGCGGAAGGATCGCCAGAGCCCAGCAGGTCGAGGCTGTGGTGGCCGGGAGCGTGCCACTGCCCTCCAGTCTGGGTGACAGAGTGAGACTCCAACTCAAAAAAAAAACCACCAAAAAACCAAAAAAACTTTGGTATAGGCTTGTTATCCATTTGCAGGACAATCGTGGTTTCACATTTTGAGGGAGATTCTTTGATAAGGGTTGGGGGAGTAAGAGGCAGGTTGGGCTGTGGATTCTGGAGATGGAAGGACAGGGAAGGACGAGAGGGTAAGGCATCTAGTAGCTTGGTTTTGCTGTGCTTGGCCATCTGGACTGGGAAACGCCCTCTCTGTTTTCCAAGGTAGGTTCTCACCCAGACAAAGTCAAGCATTTATTCTTGACATATCTTTCCAGCTGCCACCCTCTCCCGCTCTAATGATCCTTTCTTTTAAATTCTTTTTCTTTCTTTTTATTTATTTATTTATTTATTTTTTATTATGAAGTTGTGGGGTACAGTTAAGGGTTAGGTATACAATTGCGTTTCATTCAGGCACCCTGTTAATATGGGATGTTTCCCCATTCCCAGACAGATATTTGCTACTGTTAATCCCATCTCCCTTCCCCCCCAAATTCTTTTTCAAGGAGAATTTCTGGCAGATGGGACCAGCTTCAGTGGGTTCAGGCACATTCTGGAAAGAAGAAAGCCTGAATCAGGGATGTTTCCTGCATTTGCTGATGTGACCTCCTGGTACCATAAGAGAGTTTGAGTGGCAGTATCCCGGGCCTCTCTTGCCCTGTGCTGGAGGATGGGCACTTGCTGTGTGTCGGCCCACATGCCACACCCGAGACCATACCAGCAGGAGCCCAGAGCTGTGTAAATGGGAATTGGAGACCTTATTCTCCAGGAAAGTAAAATAATTATCTTCATTCAGGGTCGGCACCATCAGTTGGTTGCACTGGCTGGTTGTACTCGGAGGATATTTTAATCAGCCCACCTGTCAGTCACCATGACAGCTTATACTCAAATACACCCGCTAAAGGAGAAAGTCTGGTTTGACGGACCATGCTGAAAAACTAGTAGGAAGATAGCTGTCATATTGCCAAGATAAAGAAAAAAAAAAGATTGAAAAATAATCTGCATATTTTCCCTTCATTTGTTTTAAAGCTTAGACACATGCTTAGAATAATTTTGTATGTATTTCCTCAGATTAAAATCGTACAACAATCCTGAAGCTAAAAACACGCTGCAGCAACTGTATAGCACCCCCGCCTTTTTTTTTTTGAACTAGAATCTCACTCCATTGCCCAGGCTGGAGCACTGTGGCATGCTCAAGTCCACCCCAGGGTCGACCTGCTGGACTCCAGAGAGCCTTCCGCCTCAGCCTTCCAAGTAGCCGGAACTATAGGTGTGCACTACCACGTCCGGCTAATTTTTGATTTATTGTAGAGACAGGTCTCACCAAGTTGCCCGGGCTGGTCTTGAACCTGCAGGTTTAGGCAATCCACTTGCCTCAGCCTCCCAAAATACTGGGATTATAGGCTGAGCACTGAGCCCGGCTTCCCCCCTATTTTTAAGAACAGTGTTTTCTATGGATTTTGCAGCAACTTGGATGGATTTGGAGTCAATCATACTGAGTGATCTATCACAAAAACAAAGAACAGAGTGCCATATGTTCTCACTCATAAGTGGACCTTGAATAATTATCATAATACTATAAGAAAGGGATTGGCAGGAGTGGGAAACTGCTAGGGGAGGGAGGGGCATACCTCATCAACAAGGGTACCTGCATGATCAGCGTTTGCATATCCAACCCTGAAGTGTACCCCACGTCTTTAAAATAAAAAAATTAAAAGTTAAAAAAAAATAATAGGCCAGGCTAGGTAGCTCAGCCTGTAATCCCAGCGCTTTGGGAGGTCTAGGCAAGTGGATTGCCTGAGCCCGTGGGTTGGAGACCTGCCTGGACAACTTGGTGAGACCTCATCTCTACAACAAATCAAAAATTAGTTGGGCGTGGTAGTACGCACCTGTAGTTCTGGCTACTTGGAAGACTGAGGTAAAAGGATGGCCGGAGCCCAGCAGGTCAAGGCTGTGGTGGCCAGGAGCGTGCCACTGCGCTCCAGTCTGGGCCACGGAATGAGACTCCAACTCAAAAAATAATAATAATAATAATAATAACAATAGTAAAGAAATTGACCTACTCAGTTTTGAGGCCATTTTCTGGGGAAATGGCAGTGCCCTGTTAGCATTTAGGAGGTCTTTGATTTCTTAGGGGGTCCACATGGCTTACTCAACCACTCCTGTTCGTGGTGAATACTCCTGGACTCAGTGCCTACCAGCATTCTGTCTTTCAAGAATCCTGTTTGCTGAGGCAAAGAGGTGATTTTCTTAAAGTTGCACCTGAGCCCTGCTCTGTCGGGAGCCTTCTGGTTTGTGTTTTGCCCAAGGCCTCTCTCCTCAGCCTTCATTGCTGGTCTACAGAGAGCCATGGCGGGTGTGTATGTGTGTGTGTGTGTGTGTGTGTGTGTGTGTGTGTGTGTGTGTGTATGTTGGAGATTCACTTCACTAATTCACAGCCAGTTAGGAAGCTTTGTTCTGAATCTGACCAGGAGGCAGCTTTGGCAGTGAAACCCGAGCCCTCTCCTCCCTGCACTCCAGAGAATAAAGATCTTCTTTCAATGGGTTAGAAAACAGAATTTTGAAACCGATGACCAAAAACGGTTCCCAGTTTGGGCATAGCTGGTTATAAGGGCGCACACACGGCTCCATTTATTATGGAAACGAACTTTCTATTGCATTGCTTTGGGCTAAGGTCCCTGTCTCTAAGAGTTTCCTGTGTCTCACTCTGCTTTAATCTGCAAGTGACAGCCGATCTGGCCTGTACAACTGGGAAGTGACCTTGTTTCCTTCTTTCTTTGGCGACGGTGGAGTGACACTCCAAGCCTGAATTTCGATCTGAAGATTCTTTTCCATCCCTTGGGATGCTGTCTGTTTCGCCCTGAGTTGTGGGATGAAGAAGCTATTCTGAGAGCTAACTGTCACTGAGAGGTTTCTTAGGTAGGAAACCTCCTCTCCCAGGTGTTTGCTGAGCACCGAGAAAGTTCTTTGCCTTGGACTTCTAGGAAATGTAAATTAGCTTGAATGTGGGTTACGTCAAAAAAAACATCTCTTAAGCACAGCAAAGGTTTTGATCTGAGGGGAAATTAAAACTCTCAAATTAGGAAGCAAACTGTGTGCTTGTTCATTGCTTTTTTTTTAAACTTGAATTTTCTTTATTTTTTTAAAATTGTGGGGTACAATTCAGGGTTAGGTATACAAATGTTCCTTTTGCAGGTACCCTTATTGACGAGGTGTGCCCCCCCTCTCCAGGTGGATATAGACTACTGTCAATCCCATCTCCCCTCCCCGCCCCACAGTTTCCCCGCTACTGTCAATCCTTTTTTATAGTATTATGGTAGTTGTTCAAGGTCCACTTATGAGTGAGAACACAGGGTACTCAGCTCTTTGTTTCTGTGAGAGAGCACTCAGTATCATAAACTCTAATTCACGATAACAAGAACATGGAACCAACCGTGCTGCCCATCAAAAGAGGACTGGATTAAAAAAAAATGTGGTACATATATATGATAGAATATTCTGCAGACATAAGGAAGAACAAAATCACGAACTTTGCATTGCTTTTTTTTTTTTGAGTTGGAGTCTCACTCTGTCGCCCAGACTGGAGTGCAGTGGCCGCTCCCGGCCACCACAGCCTCGTCTGCTGGGCTCCGGCGATCCTTCCGCCTCAGCCTTCCGAGTAGCCGGGATTACAGGCATGCGCTACCACGCCCAGCTGATATTTTGATTTATTGTAGGGATGAGGTCTCGCTGCCCAGGTGGGTCTCGAACCCGCGGGCTCAGGCAATCCACTCACCTCAGCCTCCCAAAGGCGCAGGATTACAGGCTGAGCCACAGAGTCCGGCTTCGCATTGCTTTTTTGATCTAAGAAAATTTTAGCCTGCATTTCTAAGGGCCCTATCTTTCCCAGGATGTGATCTGTAGCTGCTGAAAGGTGGTTTTTATCAAGTGTGATTTTAGTGAGATTTTCGTGGCCTAAAGATTGAGCAGCATGCTTCAAAACAAAAGAAATGAACCGAAAATTTCTGGGCTGGGTTCTTTTACCTGGTTCAACGTCGAGGGAGTAGCTGTCTATTTCCAGATCAAGTTGCTGGGCTGCTGCAAAACGGAAGTCCTCCAAGATCCCGTGCACGGCCTTGGTGAGGTTGTAGGGGACCGACTTGGCAAACTTCATCTTGCTGTTCACAATCACACTCCCATTTCTGAAGTTGAGTATCTCAAGTTGCTTAAATCCTGTGAGATTGGAGCGTAGATACGGAACCAGCTGCAAGCGAGAGAAGGTTTATTCTTACTGTATTTCAGTTCTCAGTGCTGTTTCATGTATACTCACTTTCAAGTTGGAGTCCCACTCTGTCGCCCAGGCTGGAGTGCAGTGGCACGCTCACGGCCACCGCAGCCTCGACCTGCTGGGCTCCGGCAATCCTTCCGCCTCCGCCTTCCAAGTAGCTGGAACTACAGGCGCGTGGCACCACACCTGGCTAATTTTTTTGACTTATTGTAGAGCCAAGGACTTACCAAGTTGCCCAGGCTGGGCTTGAACCCCTGGGCTCAGGCAATCCTCTCGCCTTGGCCTCCCAAAGTGCTGGGATTATAGGCGTGAGCCACTGCGCCTGGCCTGTTTCAGGTTTTAAGTGTGACGAGACCACCACGACTTCATGTCTATTTGCAGTGATTAGGGTTCATATTTCCACCTCTCTATCTGTGTATTGAGATGGATGGGCTGTGATTTCTTCATGATGATTTGCTAGAACGGGTGATTTATAAAACTCCAAACCAATGCTATTAGCCGAACTGGAATAATGCCAGTTCAGCTACTTAAAAACACTCAAGTAGATAAAAAAATGTTCCCAACTGGGCCCAGGAGCAGACTGACCTACGTCTGGTGTAAGTTGGACATCTGTTTGGAGGAAACCATTTGAAAAGACCTGTTGAAATAAACAACAAGCTGAAATGTCACTGTGTCTGGTCTATTCGGTAAATATTTCATGGTCAACACCGATGTGGTGCCGCGAAAATAGCAGGAAGCTGGCAGTCAGGAGGCTCGAGTGTCAGTCCCGGAACTGCCCCTAACTAGCTGTGTGACCCTCATCGAGCTACCTGGCCACTGTATTGTACCTCAGTGCCCCTGGGGACCCCTTTCCCAACGATGCTTCAATCATCTCAAGAGCGTGCCCAGGGCATCATGCCTCAGGCGTCCACCCCTGCCCCTCCTGAGCCCAGGCTGACATTCAGATTGTTTTTCAGAAATGTTTGCAACTCAGGACATCTTTCTTGGTCTTGGCCTTGACCGTGAGTCCCTCACTCATGAGCTGCTGTCCTGCGAATACAGCACAGAGATGCAGGAGGCAGCCACCCGGCTCCACCGGACCTGATTTCCCTTTGCCTCTGTCCCCCATGCCACCAGAATGGTGACTCTGGACTCAACCCACATGCTGGGACCTCCCGTCACATGGTGATGGTGAAAATAAGATGAAATGTTACACAAAGCGAGGAACCTTTTTTCAGGTGCCTCCCCGATCTCTCCTACTGTTGCAGGAAGACAGAGAGGCCATGACACCGAGGCTATTTTAGGAAGTAGCAGTTTTATTAGCACCGGTGCGACTCAGCGGGCTAACGCTCCCAGGCTGAGCACCCTGGGGAAGGAGGAGAGGGGTCTTTTACCTTAGTTTGGGTAAGGGAGGGGGTCGGGTTGAGTGACTATACATTTTCTTTGGAATTTACAAGGTTGTACTCAGAACAAATGGTCTCTCTCCAGGATATGCACAGCAAGCAGGGGTTGTAAACTGGTAATTCATAAAGAGAGGATTTGGGTTAAGGTTGTGAATTGGTCACTCTCTTGCATCTCCAGGAAAGCCATCTTTGGCTATTTGGTTTTCTCAGGCAAAACCTGTCTAGCAGGTTTTCAGAGCTTGCAGATTGATCTTTAAAAGGAATACTTTTAACTGTTATCAGCCCCTCTCTGTCACATTACTTCCTTCAACTGTTCTCTTTCTTCGTGTTGGGACATTGCTTTGGTCTAGGGGGGTGATTCCCTGCTTTACCCACTGTAAAGGGGCAGATGGCTAGCTGCCCCTTCTTCCAAATCAATTCTCCTCTTCTTCATAGGAACCAGGCAGCCTTACTGGAGACCACATTTTCCAGCCTGTTTTGCAGCAAGCCGTGGCCATTGATTGGTTCCCACCGATGAATATGAATGGAAGTGACATGGGTGACTTTGGTGGCACAGGCTTACAAGGAGACTGCCTTCCCAACTCCCTCTCTTTTTGCTTCTCACACGTGGAAACAGGGCTGTGCCAATGACGCAGCTTTGATCATGCAAATGAGGAAACACCTTGGGGTAGGCAAAGCCACATGATGGAAGAAATGTGGGTCCCCAAATGAGTTGGAGAGCAGGGCTGTCCCACTTGTCAGGTGGAAGAGAAATAAGCTTGTGTCTAAGTGAAGTCACTGCATTCTTGATCTCTTCACGGTGGCAGCTTGGTGTGATTTCCTAATCAGTATACCATGGTAGGCTCCCTGGGACTTTGTACCTGGACATCCATTCTCCTTGTTGTGGGGGTTGGGTCTGGGGGATGTCACAGAAATAGTCTTTTTTATTATTATTTTTATTATTTTAAAGATGTGGGCTGGGCTCGGTGGCTCAGCCTGTAATCCCAGCGCTTTGGGAGGCCGAGGTGAGTGGATTGCCTGAGCCCGCGGGTTCGAGACCCTCCTGGGCAACTTGGTGAGACCTCATCTCCACAATAAATAAAAAATTAGCCGGGCATGGTAGCGTGCACACGTGCCTGTAGTTCTAGCTCCTTGGAAGGCTAAGGCGGAAGGATCTCCGGAGTCCAGCAGGTCAAGACTGCGGTAGCTGGGCATGTGCCACTGCACTCCAGTCTGGGTGATGGAGTGAGACTCCAACTCAAAAAAAAAAGATGTGGGGGAGAAAGTCTTACTTTACAGCAAATGTTTGCTTGAGGAATAGCGTTTTACATGGATTTTGATTTGCGTAATGACTTAACTTAGATGAAGCATATACATTTTTTTCCTGTAATTGTCAGAAATTCTGCACTCTGTGTGAGATGCATTGTAGGGTTTAATTGACCACAACTGTAGACATATGGCATGGTTCTGTATTTCTTATTGTACATGTAGAAACAAACTAAACATGTGATTTTGGGGGTGATCTATTCTCAAACATCATTGTGGTCTTCTCACTTTCTTTGTTAGGAACCAGGATAAGCCACATCGTGATGTTTTAGGTTTAGAAGAACTTAGGGGAACTGAAAGAGGGGCTTTTACTCCTGAACCCTCAGCCTCATTTGTGCCAGGCTGTTTGAGCTCTGTACCTTTTGGTCAGATAGATGTAACCGAGAAAAAAGATGTTCATTTATAACCATTCTGGATTTCCAGTTGAGCACCTGAGTGGTTGGGGGTTATTTCCAGATAAACTAAGTTAGGGAGGTGACTGTACAAATATTTTAAGAATAAATTTGTCCCTATGAGTCTGGGTGACTGGCAGCGTCTTCCCTGCTTGACTGCCACAAATCCCACCTCCCTAATTGGACCCAATCCCGCCTCAAAACCCCAGCTTTGTCATGTCTTCAGCTGTCTCAGAGGCTTGGCTCTTCTGACCTGCATTGCTTAAGTTGGCCAATGATTATACTGTGGAAAAAATCACAGAAAGGAAGGAAAAGAGACAGAGACCGGGACTCATAAGCAGTGCCCACTTACCAGCTCTGTGAATTGTTGCTCCAGAGCTTGGTATTCCAGAGAGCTCTTGTTGAACAGGTCATCAGAGAAATGCATGTTGGCCACACGCAGGCTGAAGAACACCACCAGCTCTCGGCCCTTGATGGCAGTGGTCATGGTGCTAGTGGTGAGGTACTGTAAAGCTGGGACAGGTGTGGAATCCTCCAGAAAATGTTCCGAGGTAGAGATGTACCCAGGGAGTCCTGGTGCACCAGACAGGGCAGGAATGGTGGACAGATCCGTCTCTTGGATGCCTGCTCTCAACCGGCTGTCATCTGAAGATGTAGGCGGGGCCACTTGGACGATGGCAGGATAATCAGTGGTGGGGATGGCCAGCCCTGGGCCAAGTACCGTCTGGCCTACGGACACGATGTCTGTAGCGCTTTGATCAGTCAACGAGAAGATGCTCGATGCAGTTGAGAAAGGCAGTGTTTCCAACAGGGTGGAAGAGGCCACAGCAGGTGGAGACCAGGAGATGTCTGTGGACAAAGCACGGTTTCATGATAGAGATGGATTTTGTCATGTCCAAGGATTCCCCAAAGAATAGAAAATGAAAGTCAAAGTGAGGCTAAGTTTTTAAAAAAATACATAGAATTTTTATGGATCGTTTCAAACAACCTGAGAATTGGGTACAGGAAGGACAGGCAACCCTGTGTGTCAACCTAGGGGAGTCCCTGATTCCATTTGCTCAAGGCCCAATAGTTCTGGATGTATGTAACTAAGAGAGAATCAGTTAACTGGAATTTCTGGAATGACTGCTTAGCCAGACACAGCATACCTTGGGGCCAGGCAGTACTGACTGACAGTCTGCAACTGGTACCCAACCATAGCTAGCCCTGGAATAGGCTTAACTTTCTCAGCCTTACCTGGAATTCCCAGACAAACAGCTGTACAGTTTTGGTCCAGACATTTTATTCACTTGCAAGCCTGCATTTCATGCCGTTGAGTCTGTGGGATTCCAGTGGTCACACTGTGGTTGTTTTACTACTTGAAATTTAAATGACGCTTTTCCAAATTTGGGTACTTGGAATAACTTGTCCATTTGCAAAAAATGCTACTGGGAGTGTAAAGGTGTGGGTGACACATAATTTGAGTGTTATATTGACCCTACAACTTGCTAAGTATTAAATAATATTTAAAACCTTTACTGCTGTTAGGGTGCTATACCCTGATAATTTCTACCACCACTTTGCATTGCTTTCTTGGGTAAGGACATATTGAACTACTGAAGTTCGTTTCTTTTTTGGTACAAAGTTAAAATCCACAAGTACTTATAAAGGAAGAAAGGGGTTATGTGAAACTTTCAAGTAAAGAGACTGATGGATTATTAAAATAGTCCAATAAAATCCAGAGCCACGGATGATACTTAAGATATTAGGGGAACAAGACAGGTAGCTTCTGTGATTACTTCAGAGGCGTTCTGGTAAATACGTGAGAAAGTGCTGTTGAAACCCAAATGTTAAACATGATGAATGGACTGCCTGGATGCAGATATAATCTCTGGACGCTCAGTCAGCTAATTTACTGCAGTAAAAGCACCAACACCAAAACTCCAAGCAATAAACAGCTCTGAAAGTTGGAATCATATTAGTTTTATTACTCTCATAAAATAAAACCTGTCTGTTGGTGAGTTATGCCCAGATTTCAGAGAAGCATTCTTTTTTCTCTCACCTAGGAGGGGCACCTAGGTGTGTCTACCCATAATTCACTTAACTGTGAGAAATAATATTTCTTACCATCCAAGATATCCCTGGGTATACACTTAAAGTTTTATTCAGATCCCTGTGGCTCTGGGCTGAATGTCCGTGTTCGGGCAAAATGTTGTGCCCTAACCCCAACTTAAGGGTGTTAGGAGGTGGGGCCCTTGGAGGGGGGATCAGGTCATGAATATGATTGTGATTAGTGCCCTCTCTTCATGCCATGTGAGGAGACAGCAAGAGGGCATCTGTCTGCAAACCAGGGGGCGCACCCTTGTCAGGCATCAAATCTGCCAGCACCTTGGTCTTGGACTTCCTGGCCATAAGAACCGTGAGAAATAAATTTCTGCTGTTTAAGCCACCCTGTCTGTGATATTTTGTTATGGCAGCCTGAGTTGACAAACACATCCATGGAAGGATCTGGGGTGATAAATTGAAATGTTTTTGAGCTTATGTTTCTATGATGTGAGCTCTGTGCACCTTCAGATGATAAGGACTGGGAAGACCCAAGGCGGGAAGCACAATGACAAATGTCTTCATTCTGTTCCCGGGTCAGCATTTCATTACTCACACTATTCTTACCATAGAGACTTTAAACTTCTTAAAATAGGCTGCTGTATTGTCATCAATCAATAAAAATTAATTTCTGACTGCTTCCTTTTATGATATCTTAATATAAATCCTTCACATTCACACACACACACAAAAAAACCCTAAGTTATTTCATTGATGAAACAGTAAGGTTGCTTGACAAAATATAGTATTTTATTCACTGGAACATACTTTTACAAGAATTATTTTTTGTTTATCTGACATTTAAATTCAACTGGACATCTTGTATTTTTCTTTGCTGAATCTAGCAGTCCTATTTAAATATGATTTAAAAGGAGTCCTACTTTCTTTTGGCTTCAGAGTAAAGCAACTAAGCTATAATTAATTCTTTTAGGGAAAAAAAATCATAGCCAAAACTTATCAGTGTATTTGAGGCCAGGCTCAGTGGCTCAGCCTGTCATTCCAGCACTTTGGATTGCCTGAGCCTGTGGGTCCGAGACCTGCCCGGGCAACTTGACGAGACCTCGTCTCTACAATAAATTAAAAAATTAGCCAGGTGTGGTATCGCATGCCTGTAGTTCCAGCTACTTTCAAGGCCAAGGTGGAAGGATTGTCAGAGCCCAGCAGGTCGAGGCTGCGGTGGCCAGGAGTGTGCCACTGCACTCCAGACTGGGTGGCAGAGTGAGACTCCAACTCAAAAAAATAAAATAAAATAAAAAATAAAAAAATAAAAGTGTATTTGAAATCATTATGCTTTTATCTGATTCTTAGACATTAGAAATTAGACATAGTGGTAACACAGACCATTCCAACGTTAAATTTTTTACACGACGGTAGGAAAGACAAACTGTCAAAGCCAAGGCCATTCATTTCATCATGAACTATGCAAAATAAAAAGACTTAAAGTAACTGTTACCCTGGCATGTGGGAGTTCCTGTGAAGGCATGGGGTGTGTGCATGCATGGCTGGGGCATGAGTTACAGATCCAACTGCTGGTCGCAGAGTAAATGGGCTGTTTTGGTACATTCTAGGCAGGAGTGCTGTCTGAAGGCGAGGACACAGATGAAACGGTGAGAACCGAGTGGTTGCTTCTCCGTGTTAGAAATATCAAAAAAGAAGAGTTCCATTGTGGCAGCATGAGGCATATGCTGAAATATATTTCTTGTTGATTGAGTGAATAAACACAGAAATATGTAGCTGGTTCAGGATTAGCAGTTGGCCTCATGGCAATCACCTGGAATAACTCCCACTAGCCCAGGGCAGTTAAGGAGTTGATAGCAGTTAAAAGTATTTCCTTTTGAAAGGCAAGTTGTAACTTTAAAGACCCACCAGGCCCTGCGCAGGTTTTGTTTAAGAAAGGCCAAATGGCTGGGCTCGGTGGCTCAGCCTGTAATCCCGCGCCTTTGGGAGGCTGAGGTGAGTGGATTGCCTGAGACCGCGGGTTCAAGACCTGCCTGGGCAACTTGGCAAGACCTCTTCTCTACAATAAATCAAAAAATTAGCTGGGTGTGGTAGCGCGTGCCTGTAATTCTGGTTACTTGGAAGACTGAGGCAGAAGGATCGCCGGAGCCCAGCAGTTCGAGGCTGAGGTGGCTGGGAGCGGCCACTACACTCCAGTATGGGCGACAGAGTGAGACTCCAATGCAAAAAAAAAAAAAGAAAGGCCAAATGGCCCAGAGACTGGCTATTTCATGGAAATTGAGAAGAGTCTAATCTAAAACCCCCCTTCTGAAGTTGACGGTTTACAAACCTGCAGTTCCTGGAAAACATTTGTTCTTTGAAAAATCTGATTTTGCTGAGTACAACCTTGTAAGATTCCAAAGGAAGTATGTAATCACTCAACATGACCCCCGTCCCTTACCTAAACGAGGGTATAAGACCCCACATCTCCTGTTCTGGGGCGTTCGATCTGGACGCATTAGTTCCATTGAGCCCGCTGTGCTAGCCAGCATAATAAAGTGCCACTTCCTGTAATAGTCTCGGTGTCACAATCTCTCTATTTTTCCTGCTACACCATAATTTCCTTTAGGTCGTCAAGTGGTATGACTACTGCATTCTTAGCTTCCTAAGGAACAAACCTATTTTTATTTCCCATAGTAAGAAAATTATTATCTTATTTTCTGGCACATTATAGAGATAGAAAATGTTTACTACTCATTCATTCACACACAGATATTGATAGCTTGCTATATGCCTGGCATTGTTCCAGGTACTGGGGTGTATCAGTAAACAAAGTTTCTGGTCATAAGACACTTACCGTGAACACAATTCTACACTGTCGGTCAAGTGTTAGCATGGCTAAAAGCATTTGCAAGCACACAAAGTCTCAAGATATTTCTCCTGAGAACCCTTTATTTGGGTATGTTTGCCCTGAAATAAAGGAATAAACCAATAAAAAGATAAGTAAGTGGAATACGAAAAAAAGTTAGGGAAATCTCCAGGAAGTTTGTGAAGGGGTGTCTCAGATAGAAGGTACCCCAGGTGTAAAAGGCAAGCAGTTAAGTTTGGTTTCATCTCAAGAGACAAGCATATGGAGTACTTGTATCACCAAGTTGTCTGCCATTGTACCAGATATTTAAAAATTTGATTGCTGGCTTTATAAAAGTCTAATTGACAGATAAAAATTGTTCACCCAATTTTTTTAAAACCTGATTTAAAGGAGGATTTGCTCTATACAACAGGATAAACCCAGAGGAGGGATCAGAGAATTCAAACCTGGAGAAAGGCCAAGGAAATCCCAAGGATAACAGCAAAAGGAAGCCCAAGTGACAACTATTCAAAAGTCCTAGAGAGCAGCTGTCTAGAAATAAAGAGAAAGAGGCATCCCCAAATTGGAACTAAGATACCCGATGAGGAAAATTATCCTGAAAATTGCAAAGCGAAGTTTGGGATGAGTTAGCATCAAGCACAAAAAAATGAAGCAAATGAAAAAAATAAATAAAACACACACTAACTCCAGAAAAACAGAAAGGAAACAGAATAGATAGATCACCTGTGGATATTTGATTTGAACATTAAAGATCAATTAATAGCCATCACAATATATTGGGAGGATTGGGGGGAAAAGAGGAAATAGTATTGTAAGAAACTTAAATCTTTTACCTACAATAACAGAAAGTCAATAAGTGATATATGAAACTGATGGCTCAAAAATGCATCTTATTTAAAAACAAGAGGAATAGTAAATGCCGGAAGAAAGAGCTGAGTTAAAGGGGCTGTTTTTGGCGAGG